GGAGTATCGCTGCCTCCGAAGAGAACTAATTCTCAAGGTTTGACCGTCACCTATGACCCAGCAAACTCAAAGTGGCGAAATGGTAAGGTCATCTAACTCAGTGGAAAATTTTCTCTGAATTTTTCTTATTTAGGGTAGTTGATACGTTGAGCATTCTTTCACCGACGGTTGTTTACTGTGCGTATAATACTATGTTTAATGAATTTACAGACGCATTTTGTGTGGGTCTTCCCGTTGACGGCATAGTGCACCTGGGTTGCGAAGTTAACGAGGAGTGCCGCATGCTTTTCAGGTTGTGCATTTCAGGCGAACGGAAGCCGCTAGAGGACATGAACGATCGTGACTTTGGAAGTCTGGCTGAAAGCCCCAGTGCTCTCCGTCAACGCGTGAAAGCAGCATGTTGATGTCCGCTTAATTAATTCGCATGGTATATGTTAGGAGTTACAGACTTAGCGGCGTGGCTTGTGAATTTTTCGGAAACTTTGCGTTTGGGCTTATTTGCAGCTAAGTTTGTACAGTTGTTAGAAACTATGGGCGGTCCAAAATAAGATATGTGAAGAAATTCAAATAATTTTCCGAGGTATGTTATGAAAAGAAGTCAAAACACGAAGGTTTAAAGGCAGTTTACAGTACAGAAAACAAACCAGTGGATCTCCGGTGGTTTATCGAAGCTATTATCATTTATTTTTGATGAGCATGGCCACAAGCATAAAAAGTGAATGCAAGCGATGAATGCGAAAGAGTAACAGGAGAATATAGGAGAAAGGTGAGCAATGTCTCATGCCAAGGAGAGTGCCAGTCTGATGAGAGGAGAATATAAAGGTGAGCAATGTCTCATGCCAAGGAGAGTGCCGGTCTGATGAGGTGAATCCAAAATATGTAAAGATTTTGGTATGGGATGGGACGTCTAAAGACCAACATCCAAAGAAAGGACAAACAATAATGAATGCTCTTCAAGGCGCAGTGTGCGCTAGCACAGTCAAGATTCGCACATCAGGCACAAAGTGCCCCTCATACTGGGTCTGGTGTGAGATTAAATGGCAAAAATGTACATTCAACTCCATGTCCCACGCATAAAAGTGTCATAAGTACGCAGAGAGCCCACAATTGCAAGCAAACACAAGTCACTGACTGCGACCTTAGGAAGTCCCAGTCCAATAACAGCCTTAGCGGATTGAGGAAAGCATATCCCTCGATAAGAGATGATCACCGGTTGGTGAACCAAAA